CTGCCAGCCTCCAAACCGCTGCCCTCCGCGGGTCTTTCAGATGAAAACCAAGACCAGTCGCAGCAGCGCCCACCTGTTTCTTATAAGCCCCTGGTAAACAACGCCACCGCCGGACAGCCAACGCCTTCGATCGCTTCTCGGTTACCGCCCACTCGGGGCATCCGATCGTCGGGCTCTCGCAAGAGCTCCACCGACGACGACATGAGCTACAACTCTCGCGGCTACGATGCGGAAGACCGATACATCGACTCAACCGACGACCACACCCTTCGCGCCTCGGACGGGGATTTCTTTGAACAAAGGAGCCCTCCCGGTTCTAGGCACGGTGCCAACGGCGGCGATGATACGGGCGATGTCTTTCTTAAAATTGCTTCTGAAGAGGCAGCCCGAAATTCAGAACCCAACTACGCCAGCGACAGACCTATTACGGTAAGTAAAAGGAAAAGAGCAAAAGCAAAAGCAAAAGAAAACCAACTCTCTTTTTTTTTTTTTTGTTATCCTACGATACCTTAGTGTAAATGTGTTTGATTTAGTGACGCATCGCCTTTTCTTGCTGTTATCTCATCTATGTTATTTTCTTTGATATGACCGTGGTTGTTAGAACTCAGGATATAAGCCCACTGTTACCCGCTATCACAACATGAAATATGCAACATCTGCACCATCTATTTTTTATACACGGCTCAGATTCTAACGGAATGCTTTCTACAGTACAAAATTAGCCGCACACCAAGTCAGCGCCCACTTTCACATGCCGCCACCTCTTACTACCCCATTTCCCCGCCTTCAGTGACAGTGAGCCGCAGGCTCTCTGATCAACAGGACCGGGAACGTCGTCGATCTGTCAGATACGAAGATGAATTGACAAGCGAAGTGGCACGGAGCAGCGCTTATCGCAGCAGCCAGCTGAGAGATAAGGCCACATCCTCTCGTCCCTCCGAAGACAGCTCCTCCAGAGCCAGCAGTTCGGGCCTACGTCCCTCGCTCATGACGCCCCGGTCTGCAGGTTATCAAGATCAGGCTGCGGAGAACTCTTTATATAACAGAAGGAAGTCTTCTGTTGTTGATTCTGCTTCCTCCAGCTCGGCACGCTCACCGACACATAAAGCCACCGTGCTTGTTCAAAGCCACGCCAAGGCCTATAACCCATCACCTTTGAACCGGTCTTTTGAGATGCAGGATGAGGATGATGAGCCCGATGCTGGTAATTTTGCTGACGGAACCGAGTCAACCACGTCAACTAACGCACCGTCTACAGTCTGGGACGAGCTGGACGATCTGAAATCGCGAATCCATCGTCTCGAACTGACTGGAAAGCTGCCACCTACCTCTGCAGCCGCGCTGATCAAATCTTCAGAAGACAGGCCCCCAACAGCTACAACGACGGTCACTACCATGTCGGTCTCTCCCAGAAAATCGGTAGCTGGCCACCAGACAGATGCTGGCAGCTCTACTTCGTCGCATGGACGAGAGCCGCACTCGAATTTGCATTCAGCACTCGGCAAAATCAAGACAATTCTTAGTCCAGACGTGTACCGCGCGCTTGAAACAGCTGCCAACGATGCTCTCGCCTTATCCTCCATGATGGGTACGCCTGGCCAGCCTGGCCCCATATCAGGCTCTGCCAGCGTAGTCAGCGGCGGCGGCGGACCTGCAGTTACAGATCGTCAGCTTCGCCGCAGGACGGACAGTGTCTGTCGTAGCTTGACGGAACTTTGCATCGCCCTCGGCGAGGATTCGGCACGGCCTGCAGTGACTGTTCCGCAGGTAGTAACTACACAGCTGAACTCAACCCGAAGCCCTAGTTCGCACCCAGAGCCACCAAAGACTCCAACCATGATGAACAGCAAGACTTATTCGGTTTCTCGTCGCTCCAGCGTTGTGCCTGAACAAGCTACGCAAATCATCAGCAGCCCTAGAGCTACATCTAAATATGAAGAGCGACGAAGCATGATGTTGAACGGCAATCCTCTGACTAGTCCTCGGGCCTCTGCGTCTACTCCTGCGACTCCTAACGATTCATTGTCGGCTGCTCGTAGAGCCTCCCTTGTTATATCGCGCGCCCGTCGAGCGGTGACAGAGGAGGCGGAAGACGGCAGGAAATCAACTGCTCTCTTGCGGAGCCGACGACTTGCGGGTGATGAATCCGATGAGGGCGGTCGACGAACCTCATTTCTCGTCCGTAACCGCCGGGGTACTGTTGGTGAGGAAGATGAAGGGGCTAGATTCAGAGCTCCTTCCCGCGCCATCACCGAGGTGACTGGGACTCGAGGAAGCACCAGGGAATATCCCTATGTTTCCGAAGCCCAAACTCCGCTGCCCGAGGTCAACACTCCACAGGCCCCATCAGCCCTCAGCCGACGACGATTATTGACTTCAGGCCTGCAGCCTTCTCGCTTGACTGTTCCGTCTAGTGCTACCACGCCTACTTCCAGGAGGTTCTTGGAGAGATCCCTGCCTGAAGGCGTCGAGAGTGGCTCTGAGAGGCCTAGTGAAAATCGTCTCTCAAGACATCTATCAGTTCAACATGGTTCCTCTAACCATCCCTCCACCTATCAATCCTTGCAGAATCGAACCAGCAGCCTGCAAATCCGTCGGACGAATCGGGACAACCTGGCTATCCCGGCCTCCTCGACAACCGCCTCCAACGGCTTGAGATGACCGTCAACGACAATAAAACAACATGTTTAGATTTCATGATCTGTACCATACATAATCCATCTGCGAGCGTTTTCTTTTTCTAATCATTTCTTTGATCTCTCATTAACCTTTTCACTATGTCTAAGTCTAATACTGCTGTCATATTTTGACACTGTCTCACTATCACTCTCTCATATTGTCTCTCATTATTTTCCTTTGTTCAATTATCAAACATCACATGCCGCCTATTTTCATTCTGAGAACCACTGGCTTGATGACCTAACGACAGACGGCCTGCTTCGACTTCCTTCACGGAGCCAACTTCTCTTTGTTCTTCATTTCATTCTTGTTCATTTTGATTTTTTTTTTATCATTCATAAAGCGTGTATTATCTGGTTTTGCTTGCGAGCATTAAAAAGCATTTATCTTTTTCTGGAGATGGTTGGTGCGTTGTGGCCTAGACCACACCTTTCTATGTTTTGTTTCTTTAGGGGGCGAAGAGAGGAGTTTTGATTGTTTTTTTATTATTTTAGAAGAGTTTAACTTCGTTTTCTTTTTCTTTTTCAAGGGAGTGGATTTTGGTTGAAAGGGCAGGCCGTGAAGTCATATTGGGACGGGGGACAGGGGCGTAGAGATACGATACCTCTTTTTTTTCTTTTTTCTTGCGGATTTTTTGTGATTGGTGTTTCTTGTTTTCTAAGGAGCGAAACGAAAGATAGCATCGATGCGCGTGTGTAAAGTTTTATAATAACAATTACCTTTTTTTCTTGACTTTGAGTGGGTGGATGGATGATGTTTTCTTCGATTTGTGCTGATAATGTCAGGAAATGTGGCGTATGGATTTATTGTGGTTGGCTTTTAAGTAGAGGCGCAGCCAGTGAGCCTGCTGAGTCACGCCGATTTTATGAGCAATAGCTACTAGGACCTGTGAGGCAGGCACAGACTAAGGCAGCTTCTTGTACCTGGATTTGAACTTAAAAAACGAATGATCATCTTCTCCAGATATTCATCAATAGAGCTGGCCAGCGGCTACTATTTTATACAGAAGCAACCTAAACTCTCTTTCCGTAATCTGATCGCCAAGCACCATCATCCAAGGCGGCAGGATTTTACGGCAAACCAGCACCGTCAAATCAGTTTCAGGACGTCTCATCAAGCAGCAACAGAGAGCAAGCTTTTCCAGTTTACGAGCGAAATGAGTGCTTTGGAAGAAGACGGGTCGAGCACCACTGCTCCTCTCGCACTGGAAGAGAAATACTCTGGCGGCAAGAAGTCACGAAGCGGCGGCGGCGGTGGCCGTGGAGGCAGAGGAGGTGGTGGCCAGAATAGAGAAGTGCTTGTGTCAAAGGCGCTTTCGAGGCTGTTGAGGCACCAGGCTGAGAATGCTGGCATCAAGCTTGATGCGGAGGGATATGCGGCTCTTGACGAGGTGGTGAGTTTTTGTTTATGATGATATATCCATTTGAGAGAGAGGGACGCTTTTTTAACTGGTGGATATATATATACAGCTGAACTGGGGTCCAATCCGGTCTCTGAAAGTCACGTTGGCTGAGATACAAGAAGTCGTTGCCTCCAACGAAAAACAGCGCTTCACAATGAAGCTGAAAACGACCGTTGTCGCCGAGCCCTCGGAAGAGGCATCCACGCCTGCTCACTACGTCATCCGCGCCAACCAGGGACACTCTGTGAAGATCGAATCAGCGGCCCTCCTCGAAGCCATCACTCTCGAGGCAGCCAATGTGCCGCCTAGAGTCATCCACGGGACGTACTTTGCCTTTTGGCCGGCTATTGAAGAGTCTGGAGGTTTGAAAGTCATGGGGCGGAATCACATTCATTGCTCGACGGGGACGCCGGAGGAGGGTGTCATGAGTGGTATGAGAAAGGATGCGGAGCTTGTGATTGAGATTGACGTGGAGAAGAGTCTGCAGGACGGCATTCAGTGGTGGAGGAGTGATAATGGAGTTTTGCTGACGGAGGGTGGAGAGGATGGAGTGTTGAGCACTGCATACTTCAAAAAGGTTACTGGGAGGAATATCGACGTTGGGGTACTTTGGGAGGAGGGTGAGAGACTTGCAGGTCTTCCTGAAGGAATTAAGGGAAGAGTTCCTCCTGGAAAGGGACCTAGAGGGGGTGGAAGGGGAAGGGGAGGTAGGGGAAGAGGGCGATAGTGGATGACGAAAGAAATAATACGTTTCAAGATCACAAGATATAACGAAGAATGCACTGCGATTATGAAGAAGCAATTTCTATTATCAATTTCCTATGCTATTCAATCGCATAATATCAAGACTAATGCTCGAGTCCAACTACCCAAAGGAGCAACGCAGCATCTCTATCCAAACCGCCGAAAACACAGAGCCCTACTCTCCCATTGGATCATTGAAAGTATTGAAAACACCCTCCCTTCGCTTCCGCTCAGTTTTACAATAACTGAGTACCTCTTCAGCCATGAGCTCCTTCGCCAGGGCCCTTGTGAGAATACCTTTGATATGGCCCATGTCCGGCGGTATGCGGCCGATATTCTTAAAAACTGGCCTCCCAGCAAACATTCCCGGGTTCTCCTCGTCAGCCCAAATCTCAAAGTTGGGATAGCCGATTTTCAAATATGCGGTCTCTCTTTTGACTTGGTCCAGAAGAGAGGGAAGTATTTTACTGTCGTAGAAGTCTGTGTCTTCGACAGTCGTGAGGTCGCCGGCGCTTGATGATGGCGATGGCAGCATTGAGGACGGCGATGTAATAGGGGCGGCGCCGCCAGAGGGCGCCTGAGCTTTTGCAGACGAACTGGAAGCGACACTGGCATTGTTATAGCCATCGCTGTTACTTACTAGACGGACACCACCATTGCTGGAAGTAGAAGCTCGAGCATGAGCTTTAATATACAGATATGCGTATTTGGCCGCGTACTGTTTGGATAGCTGTGAAAAACAACTGTCGTTAATTTTTATTGTTTTTTACTCAATTATATAGGACATATACAAGGGGGAACTATGGCCTACCTTTTTCGACTTCCACAGCGGAGGTTGTTTGCCTTCGTAGAGTCCGTGGCCCAAACAAGGAAATTGCTTGTTATTAACAAAGGGGAGGTAGCAGACTGTTCTCCATCGTTGCGAGAGAACGCCATTCAAGGGAACTTCTATGGGTGCCAAGTCTTCAAACCTTGGAGGAGCAAGCTGTTTTATCTGGGCGAACTCTGCAATTTTCTCACAAAAAGATGGATTAGCTAATGAATTTCATGTTCCTTATTTATTTTGGTTTGCTCCCCTGGTTCATGATATTTTTTTTCCCTTTCTTCTTTTTTTGCTGGCTTCAGCTGAAATGAAAAGGTGGATATTACTCACGCATTAGCTCGCTCACATAGTCGAGCTTGCCGATAGTCTCGGCAGTCGGCTCCGGCCCGTCCAAGAAGTCGACAACCTGAGAGAGCGCCGCGATCTGCAGCTTTGTTGGCGGATTGGGGTTGAAGCCGCTCTTTTCTGCCTGTTCTTGAGCCTCGATCCAGGCTTTGAGCCGACCCCACGGTACTGGCATGACACCATCGTGGTTGTCCATGGCGGGGTCCGTATCGTTTGCGGACTGCTGGGTGAAGGAAGATGAAGCGAGATGCGAGCAAGATGAAAATTGGGATAGCAAGAGAGGACGATGAGATGTAGCTGGAAGTAAAAAGCAATTATGTAAGTGGGCGCGTATGTGGCTGGAACTTGGAGCTCTGTAGATGTTGCCGCAGTATCCAAACGGGTGGAGGCCTGATGTAGACGCAAACGGACGAACAGCAATATATATAAGAGAGCAGGGCTGCCAGCACATGCCCAGCAACACAGCAATCAGAAGCAGCCGTGTTTATGCAAGACGGGATGAATGAACCTCTCGGCCTAGGCTACTCTCAAGCAATGAAGCCTTGCGTAAGTGTTGTTAGTTGGCTGGGCTTAAATTCTGGGCGCAGCACCACTTGATTGGCCCGATGCGCCGTTTGGGCGCCTGCGAGCTGGTGGGGGGCCGTCTTGGGCGGCCTAAATACTATGTCAATAGGCAGCGGTGCATACATTGTCATCTCTACAAACAAGTCAAAATGCAGGATTCCCTCCGCAGGGAGGCGAGGCGAGCCAATGTAAAACAAGAGCAACGCTAAATGCTTGTATCTATCGAAGCGCGATACTGCGCCGTGCCAATTTCGTATGCGAAATGGTCACTACTGCCCAGGCCCAATATGAGGGGGTATTCATCTATCTACAAGTACTTGGTAGCCCAGGTGTGCATGGAGAGACTCCTGCAGCTGCATGCCTTAGAGGCCCTCGAAAAAGCCGCCGTCTCCATTCTCGTCCTCCTCGTCATTGGTGGCCGCCGCGAGGGCCTCCCGCATTAGCTTTCTCCTCTCTCTGCGGTTGAGTTCCGGGTGTTGTTCCTTGTCGCCATGGCTGGATGCTGGCTCCGGGGCCTTACCCGATCGCTGCGGCTGTTCTTGGTTCTTTCCAGAGGCGCCGTTCTTGGCCCGGGAGGCATTGTTGTTTCGTGATGCGGGGGTGTTCGAAGGCGCCTTGGGAGTGGCCCGCGGCCTGATGGGCGGCTGTGTATCATCAACCTCCCCGTTATCATCTGGCGACCGGCGGTCCCGCAGGCTTTCTAACGCAGGAATCCCGTCGGCCAAGGCCTTCTCAATTACTGACCACATTGGCGGTCTCTCTGCCTCCAGAGCCGCCTTCGCAGCCGCAGCTTTCCCCTCCTCGGTCTCCTCTTCGGCCGTTTTCTTGGCGTGAGAGCTATATAGGCCGACATATGTTTCGAGATGGGGAAAGTAAAGAGTATATGCTTCGTCAACTTCAGCTATATGAAGGTCGTGCCGTATCTTATCCGCCTCGCCTGAGTCCGATTCCTGCTCAAGCTTTCGTTTCAATTGCTTCACTAATCTTGAAGCCTTCTTTCGTTCTACCAAGACGTTAGTAGATGTGGTAGGGCCATAAAGTCGGCAGTATGAGATCAAGGTCAGGGACACGACGCACCGAAAAATCGCACCATATGGTATTTGGATATCATTGTGCTTCGCTTCCTCTTGTATTCCTGATCTGCAACAAGTTGCTTCTGCGACGCCAGTTCGCGCTCCAAATCAATTCGCACATTGACTGGCATGTCTTGGTTTCGCCTTAGACTTCTTTCGATCGCTCGAATTCGCTTCTTAGCCCCGGAGTCTTCCTTTGCCTGGCGTTTTCGTCCGATGTAAGACTTGTGCCTCTTTTCAGACGCTCCATGGCTGCCATCTGCGCCTTGCGACTCGACTTCGTCGTACTCGCGCTTGGTTCCCATCGTGGATCGATTTTGTCGGTATTGCTGGGGCAGATTATGTGTAAAATTCCTTCAAATCGAGTAACTTCGTAGTTAATTGGCTCGCTGAATGCCAAGATGATGCTGTTCGTCTCGAGTTTGGATGCTTGCGGTCACAACCAGCTTTTTACGCCTGGTTTGCGCAAGAAGTAGAGGAAAATCAAATGAAAGCATCCGCATGGAATACTTTTGCTTATCTTATCGGTGCGAAAGTCTAATTTGGCTTAGCGTCATAGCGCTAGCTGCGGCCAATCAGATGACGCCTATTGCTCTCTGTCTCGTCGCCAGCTTCTTAGAAGACGAATCTACCGGAGCTCATAAATCAACACGGCCGCTTCTCTTTATCGCCTTATCTTTTCTATGACATTTTGATAATATTTGAATTCTCGAAAACGCCATCTCAAAACTGCTGCGTCGTGGCATCCAACTCTCAGGCAAGCTTGAGCTCGTCTCTTGCTATGGCTAGCAGCGGAACCTCGTCTCTGATATGCGATTAGGTCAATCCGCAGCGCCACAACACATCACCGTATTAGGACTTCTTTGGCGGCTTGAGTTATTTCTACGTTGATAGCCATCGCCTATTCAGCATTTCTGCCCTTGCCCGAAAGGGTTCTGGTCTTTCATGTTCCACAGCCGCTTCATGAGGACAGCAGCATCGGCCATTTCGACTTTTGATGACATAGTATCCCTATCGACGCCCTATCCAAGATGGATCGCCCTGAGCCGGGGCTTGTCAAGTGGTCTCCCAAGGCCTCTGTAGACAGCTTCGTGCACATTAATCTGCAGCATCGGGTTGTCCAGCTCTACGAACCCACTGGCCACGCGCGCGCGGGAAGGTTTGATTATGCCAAGGTCAGCAGGCACGATGATTTCCCTCCCCTCACGACGTATGACTGGTCTCCGGAGAATCCCAGTCTGCTAGCTGTTGGTACGCAAGCTGGTATAATAAATCTCTTGAGAATCGACGACAGCTCCAATGCCTACATCGAGCTCGGTCTTAAAATGTCACGTACTTGCCAAGCTGTCTCATTCAACACGACTGGGCTGCTGGCAGTAGGCTTGGATCGCGTTCGGATGGACCAGAGTTTACAAGTGTGGGATGTCAATCGCCTATCATCTGTGGTATCTCCTGGCAGCAAGGGATTTCCTAGTAATTGGGGCAGCCTTTCAGACCCCAAGAGAGCTGAGCCTAGCGTATCTGTTTCCAGCATCAAGTTCTTTGAGGATAGCCCCAATGTGCTGGTAGTTGGTATTAAGGGTCAAGGTGTCAGGATACATGACCTTCGTGGTAAGTGCAGCTACTATTTCTCTCACCTAGAGATCAACCTATACACTATCGTATGAGCCAAATTCTTACTTTAACCATCAAGATCCAAATGCCACTCTCACTTTTCACACAAAATGCAATAACAATTTAGCAATTGATTATGCCGATCAAAATTATTTTGCATCATCAGCTCTTGATCATCCCGGAGTCATGATATGGGATCGAAGGGCAACCTCTCGGCCTGTCGCTTCTCATGTATATGCGCAGGCTGTTGAGGAGGATGAATTACCTTGGGGCGGAGCGTTGCGCCTTGATACAGTTGTTGATACAGACTCGGACTCAGCGGCTGAAGAGAAGCACTCACTCATCCGCTCTCTGCGTTACTGCCGAGACCGTCGTGGCTTATTGGCCGTGTTATCCCGTAACGGACAGCTCAAGATCCTTGAAACGAACAAGGAACTTCCATCGTCAGATACTGTATCACATGAGGGCCCTGAACTTCTCAAGGTACAGAAATCGCACGAGATGGATGTCTCTTACCGCGACAACTCTAGAAAGAATGATCGGATTGTCTCATTCGACTGGGTGACGTTGGGCTCAACTGCTCTGCGACCTAGACTTTTGGTGCTACGCGCAAACGGCGGATTTGATATCCTAGAACAGCCGTCTAATACAGCAGATCACATCTTCAAACTTGTGCCTTGGCAATCTCCTCATCGTGGCCTCGAAGGTAATTATTCACTGGGTTCTGTAAGCTTGGACTGCTGATGCACTAACACTTGACCAGAAAACACTCCATATCAAGATCTAATGCATTTCGAGACTGCGCAGGCTCCAAAAATGCTTGCTCCAATTATCATTGAAGACAGCTTATCTGATGTTTCGGTCTTTGGGTCGGATAAAGTGAGTATCGAGGCAAGCATTGACAAAGCTCTCGATCCGAAAACGCCGATATCGGTTACCGTTGAAGTCATTGATGAGATCACTTCGCCTTTGCCGGAGTCTTTCCATAAAGCTGAGACGATTGCAGAGAAGCTTCGCATTTTACGCAACTATGTGCGCGAGGAAACCGCCATTCCTGGCTCGCCTGACGAAGGCAGACCGCATGCCAAAGACGTGAAGCGGCTAATGAATAGCAAACCCGGCTCCGCCAATATCAGTTCCAATGGAATTGGTTCTTGTAGTGAAATTCACGAGGCACTTCTTGGTACTCTCGCGTCCTCATCGGGGCTTCCAAGAGAGGCACAATGTGTAGTCGACCATGTCAAATTATTGCGTGCTAAAGAGAAATACTTGTTCGACGCCGTCACCAACAGAAATGTGACATCTGATGACCCCTGGAAACGGTTTGTTTGGGATTGGATTGGTGGTGAGCCTTGCGAAACAATCGCATGATTTCTCTCTCTATGATTGCTAACTAGGTTCCAGACGCGGAGCGAGCTGCGGATGATGGCGGCATGGTGTTCTCTCACATGGATCTAAGCTACTTGGGCGTGCATGCAATATGGACTAACAACTTGGGTGAGCACGTCTATTTGGCTTTGAACAAGCGACGAATCTAATGCTTTTTATCTCAATAGGCCGAACTCCAAGCACTCGCCTGTCTGCTGGCGCCCCTGTTCCCGATGCGAATCAGTGGGAACGTTACATTGGCTCGTACTGTAAGAAGAACCAGCTACCTAGGTTCGATGGTGTTGTGACAAAGAAGCCTCACCACCGCCAGCTATGCCTTGAAATATGCAGCTGGGGAGATTCCCAGAATCATGAGCCTGGCGGCTTAGATCGAGAGGCAGACCCGGAGTACCCAGCTGGCAATCATACAATGGCAGCATCCCGGGCTCTATTTAGAGGCGACACACAGCTAGCCGTTGACATATTGAAAGATGCCAGCCCGTTGCATCCAGAGCTGCTCTTCGTTTCATTAGCTTTGCAGCTCATAAGCCGAGAAGGCAATCAAGTTCCCAAAGAGAAGCTAGATATCGATGAAGCAGTTGCATCAAAGACAGACCCGTACCTCCGGGCGATATCATCCCTGATAGCTACGGGGGATTGGACCATTATCGCTAATCAGGCGTCCCTACCTCTCGCAGACAGAGCCTACGTTGCGTTCCGCAACTTCACAGACGACCAACTCACCACATGGCTCCGCGAACAAGTCTCCCGCGCTGTGAAAGAGGGAGATATCGAGGCCATCTGCCTTACTGGCATCACAGATACCATGGTTGACATCTTTGCACGCTACGTCGAAAAGTTCAACGACTTCCAGACTGCCACGCTGGTCATGTCCATCTGCGCTCCGCGATACATTGATGATATTCGCTGCCGAGCATGGCGCAACGCTTACCGCGCCTATCTCCAACGCCACCGCTTCTTCTTCCAGCGAACAAAGTTCGAGGTCGAGTCCACGAAGCGCTCTAAGCGCGATGGAATCCCCGCGCTGAAGCCCCCGTCTCGCCAGGTCGCTCTCCGCTGCGTCTACTGCGATGCCAGCACGTCTCTCGCCAACCACCATGGTGCGGCTCCCATGGTGCCCTCATCTACCATGGAGACGCGCAACCCCATGCTCGCAACGAGCATCAACTCCGGCGTGAGCTGTCCCAACTGCGGAAGACACCTCCCTCGGTGTATTCTCTGCTACGAAGTCGTTGGCGTGCCGCGCTCGGATCGGCCCGAAGAAAAGGAGGAGACTCGCATGGCGAGCCGGTTCCCTACGTTTTGTCTCCGGTGCGAGCACGTACTGCATTTGGATCACGCGAGGGAGTGGTTTGCGAGGCACGTCGAGTGTCCTGTACCGGAGTGTCGCTGCCGGTGCAATTTTCGGGCAAACCCAGAGCTGAACTATCATTAAAGGCTAATCAAGTAAACTTTGTAAAGAGGAGAACCCCTTAGTAAAGTATGAGGGGATCAAGATAGGGGGATATTCGTAATGGGATGGCGTTTTGTGTTGTGCTTTCAAGGTTGTATAGTTCAGTATTTGTTTATTTGTTTGTTTATTTGGTTTATGAGTCTCAATGCTAAAAAAGAATTCGCGCTAGTTTGTAATGCCATAGAACTTGAAACTGGCCACTTTTTCTTAACAAAAAATGAAGATGGAAAAGATAGGACAAGAGTATGACAGAAGAAGAAGAACAGGGGAAGAGAATAACGGGGGAGTAACCCCCAGTCCTCTCCACGCTTCATAGATCGCTTTAAGAATTCCAACTCCCCCATCGTGTAGCCGTGGCCCCTCCATATTCCAGCCAGAGACGTGAGTCTCTCTCGCCAACTTCCAGTATGTGTCGATTGTGATCAGAAGTGTTTGTAGTCTTTTTGTCGTATATAACCATTCCAATGTGGAAACATGTTATGTATTTATTCGTCTTCGAATTCTCTTTCGGCCCCAATGGCCAACTCTTCCTTCCTGTCCCGTCTCTCAGTTCTCGTATGTAGTATATATGTGTAATTTCACTTTCATGGGTATCATGGCCAAAAAAAAAATTGCCGCCGTGCTTATCGTGACCTTCCACGGTCTATATGCATTCACCTTTCTCATTCCGTCTTCCCTACCCAGACACAAGTCTCTCTGCTCCTCTTCCTCGTCCATTGCCATTTCTATTTCGGTTGGTGTGCCTTGCACCACGGGTGTTCCAGCACCTGTTCTATTGTGTATCGCTGGCTGACATCTCGGTTCAACATACAGCGGATCAAGTCGATGCTGTCCTCGCTAAGTATAAACGGGATGCGAAGGTCTCGATCCATAATCTCATCAATGCTGTAGAAGGGGTTTTCTTTGTAGACAATGGTGTATAATAGAATGCCTAGAGCCCAAACATCTTGCTCTTTTCCGCCATAAGGTTTTCCGGCTAAGACTTCGGGAGCAGCATAGTCTAGAAACTTGATTAGCATCTCATTGGGATTATCAATGCGGATGGAAAAAGACTTACCAATTGTGCCCACAAACACATCAAAGGGCCCGCTCTTGATATATGCCGCACTGCCGAAATCAATGAGTTTAATGTTTCCCTCGCCATCGAGAATGACGTTTTCGTCCTTGATGTCTCGATGGACAACCAAGGCTTTGGTGTGCAAGAAGTGGACGGCATTTGCAACTTGGACGAAAATGCTTCGGCATTCAGCCTCGTCCATGTTGGCGCGGAGCTCAATGTAATCGAATAGGTCCATGCCAGGAAGACCATGCGGAGCCATCTCAATGTAGTAGTTGATATCATCCTCAAAGAACCCCTCCATTTCCACAATGTTAGGGTGTCGAAATTCAGGATTTCGCAGGTAGTTCAAGACGTGGATTTCCAAAGGGACTGTTCCGAGCTTCCTGTCTCGAGTCCAGGTATCGACGAGAATACGACGCTTAGTCACATATTTCAAGACAACTTTATTGCCTGTCGTCTTGTGCCGAGCAAGTTTCACTTGGCCGTAGGCTCCCTGGCCCATATCTTCAAGGATGGTGTAATCGTCTATGGTGGTTTTGCGGTCAGGCTCATCTGCCTTGGCAGGTTCTGGCTTTTCGGCTGCCTTGGGTGGCTCTGGCTTGGCGAGTCCACCAGTCAACTTCGCAGCCGCATCAAGGGCGGCTTCCTTGAGCTGTTTTGGGATTGCAGAGGCCATCGATAATATTGGCTGTTGGGCAGCCTCGGTTTTGGGTGAGTCAGAGTCGGAAAATATCTCCATCGGAGTATGTGCAGGAGTCTGGCCTGGTGAGGGCTGATGAGGAGGGGTCAAAACGACTGGATGGTCGGCGGATTCCAAATTCAAATTCATAGGCGAAGTGTGGATATGTCGTGAGTATGTAATCCAAAGGGCGAAGACCATCTCTGTTTGTGACACAGAGCCCACTCGATCGCTTGTTTCTGCCGTCTCTGATTCGCCTTCTTCGATGCTTTCTTCGATGGTGTCGGTATGTTTTTCGCTTTCAACAACGCGCATCTGCACATCAATTTTCAGTTCTGAGCCGTCTCGGTGTCTTGCTGGTATACCGTCGGGTTGAAGAAATGCTGCGGCGGCGTTGGGGCGTTGTTCTTTCAGTGCGAAAAAGGCTGCTGCTCTGCGGAATCTGTGCTCAGGTACTACCATGCCGTCCATGAGTTGTAGACCGTCTTCCTCAGTTAATGTGGCAAGAATCTTGTCGAAGTCGGGGATGAGGAAATATATAGGCATTCCGTCGGGCTTTTCGTAACCAAACAGTGCGCCAGAGAAGACAGAGTTTGAGCTTCGAATCTTTAGTGTTTCTGGTTCCACCACAACTATACCGGCCATGTGAGGGAAAGTTGAGACGCGCAACTCTAGCTTGCCGCGAATTTGCTCAATGGCGCATGGGACATTCGACTTGTGTGAATTTGGGCACGTAAAGTAGCGTCTTCGAGAGGTCTGAGCAAAGTCAATTTCGCCCTCGTTCGGGTCAATGCCTTGTCGTGGGATACGCGGAATAAGCTTCGCGACATCAAAGCCCGGTTTTATTGACTTGGAGCCCCAAATTGGCTCGGTTGCTCCCGTAACGGATTGCACGATACCCTCTTCATCCAACACAATATTAGCCACGTCCTCGTGAATTTCCTCAAGTACCCAGATCAGCCCCACGCGTTTTTCCTTGACCCATAGACTCGCCGATCCAGTGGCGCCATTGCGTTTCTGAATCGGAACCACGTCACCGCACAGTAAGACACCACGTGAGAGGTTGTTGCGATGGTGACCGCTGGTACGCGTAGCAGGAGGGTTTGGGTCTCCGCTGTGAACTGTCTGGGCGCGTCTCTGGGATTGCGGCGGTTGTGACCTCGAGCTGGGCTTGCTAAGGAGCTGGGCAGTGATTCCCGATCTGCCACCCAGCAACGCAGACGCAGCTGAAGCAGCCGGGGTGGCTTTGTGGCCGCTCTCGCTGTCCTCATCCATTTCTGCGTCGTTTAACTGCAAAAGCCTCTTCTCGAGCCACGCCCTTCTCTCTTCTTGTACCACCTCCAGAATGCCCATCTTTCGTACTTCTGCTTTTGTGACTCCAAATACCAGACAAGCCAGATCATTGGCCGCCAAGATGGTCCATGGTGGCTTAGCCTCTGTTGTGAAAATGGCTTGCGCGGCCGGCACCCATCTGTTTGTATGGCCGTGCACTGCCGGGCCGACGGCGGCAGGGAAGCTCATTTTGAGTGGCATGGCCGGCTGGGTCGATACCGGGGAAGAAAGAGGCTCTTCGTAAAGCGGCTCGCCAGGAAGAAAAGGTTGAGACATTGTATCCATCAGCTTATCTTGTAAAGCCATGCCTAGAGTATCGGTCATTGTTCGTTTTAAGCTTGTAGGCCTTGTCGTAGACGATGACGTCTTCAAAGTGAGTCCGCTGTCATCAGGGTGAGTTCTATTTGAATGTTCTAATTTCAGTCTTGCTTCAATAGCTGCACTCTTGTCGGCGGATACCAACTCGTCGTCGCGAGTAGGCACTCTTTGTAAACTTGCAGGTCCGAGATCAGATGCTACCGATTCCGATATAGACGCTCTCGGGCTAAATTGCTTCTCAAACACATTCTCAGCAGGTAGGTCGGCCGGGCCAGTCAGTGGCGGAGCAGCGATGGCTGAAGGATTGGGATTTGGCAGGTTTCCAGCGCCTATGACTTGGGCTCGCGCGAGCAGTTCCAGCATATGCTGCGCATCAACGTCGCCCGAAACTCTGGCCTGGGCGCTAGCGAGGCCGGCTTGCGTCGAGGTCATGGACAGACCCATGCGGTCTTTCATAAACTCCAGGGACCGTTTCAGGACATTCTGGCGGTTGTGTAAAAAGTCTTCCGACTGATGGGCGAAGGAGAAGGAGTGCAAAGACTCGGAGGGAAACCGCGACAAGTCTTCGGAAAAGCTGGGAGACGTGGGCGGTCCCGCAAACGCCGTAGTACCGTAGCTGCTCAACATGGCGGTCATGGAGGTAGACCGGGTAAGCGTAACGACTGAAGGGCTGCGTGAAGAGGCATTTGAGCTGGGCAGGGTCGGCGCTCGAGACGGAGGGTGCTGCTGTCGTATGCGGCGCAGGCCAGAGAGCCCCAGGCCGTGCTCGTGGTCGCTGATAGGAGATGGTCTGATCAGAGCGCGCGGTCAGCAAACAAAAGCGAGCTACTGTGGCACAAGTCTTGGGGCAAAACACGCTGCCGGTGAGGGACGAACCTGGTGATTGGGTCGTGGTCCATGATGCCGGCCGGCGAAGCCTCAAAGGACATTCGGTATCGACTGCGGTCTGGCGGGTCAGCCGACAGATGCAGGTTTCCCGTGCTGCGGTTCTTGGGCAACGACAGAGTGGGCATGGCTCTGTCATGTCCTCTATCATCGTCTCGCGAGCTACTATCGGTGCCTGGAAAATCGGACGGGCATCAGTCATGGCGTCTGCAGATTGGCATCACACTCCAAACATACGGTTGTCTTGGGGGCCGCCATGTGTCTGAAGCATACTTGTAGACCTCTGTTCGCGCGCCTCTCTAGTGGAGTGGTGTACAACGCAAGCAGGGCCCAAGGATGGGGGGAGCGGCGAGGCGACGCGAGTTGAGCCTTGCTCTCACAAAGGATTGACCGGCTCAGCCTGGCTTGCCGACGTTGAGGTCGTCTGCAGGCTGATTGACGGAGCAACAAGCAACAGGCTATTCTATAGAGCTGGGGGGACCCTTGCGGAGAATCGCTGTCTTCGGTGCGGGAGCGCGGATGGCGTGGGAAGCGCAGGATATTCACGGGCGGCTGTGGCGGGCAGTCGGAGGCAGCTCAGAGGACAAAGTCCGGGCGTTCTGGGCTGGAGCAGAGGACTTGCTCGGGTCTGGGATCCAGGGAGAGAATGAGGTCGGCTTGGAGAGTTGGCAGATCTGTGGTTGGGCGCCTTGTTTGGGGCGAGGGGTTCCAGAGGCGCGAGAGGGGTGAAGGCGCTGGAGGAGCCACTGCTGCCCACAAATCAAAATATCTGCAAAGAAAGCATGAATATGCCAATCGCATGCATGCAGACCCGAAAGTGCGACCTCTCGTGCCGGTATCTCAGGCACTGTTGCTTTTACTGGGAGCGGATTTTCCGTGCTGGCTATATGAGTCTGCACGTCAAGCTCTCCGGGCTCCTTTTTTTTTTCTTTTACAGGTAGCGCATCGGCAGCGTGACGGCAATTACCACTGTCATTGATGGCTACAACAAATAAGGTTAGGTACGAACTAAGGGCCCTACGAAGAATTCTCTTCCTCTCAGCTGCTTTATAACACGGGCATTTCTGCGATCCAGCACGCAGGCTAATTCCTGCCTCTTGATTATCGACCCTGTACTTGTTTGATAATACGAGACATTACAAATTGCGGTGCCGGTTCTCTCATACACCATCGAGCTCTTAGCAGAACGTAGCGCTAACCTTGTGTCGAGCTCCGCATCGACAGTAAGCGGTTTATTCTGCAAGGAGAGCACCGCACTTGTAGGCATACGTCAGACGCAGAAAGCAATTGGATCGAGACCCTTGCCCTACCGGCAAAACGTAATAATTGCTGGGGCTGGCTGGGGCCAGCTCGAGCGGAAGAGCACCGAAGCCACATCCGAATCTCGCGGTCTTTTAGAGTCGCAATGGAGGCGCCAATTGAGTCGACATGTGAATGCTGCTATAGCTGCTAGTCCCCAGCTAATCTGCTACTACTATGAAGTGGTAAAACAGCCACACGTCTCCATCTGCGGGCAAATCCGTATCTACAGCTAGAGTAAGAGCATATGTGCGTTCCCAGACGCTGAAGAATGATGTGCTAGATTCGACCGCTATTCCCGTTCTAGCGAGATGCCGCCGCTGCCTTTTGCGTAGAGTGAGCCGTTAAAAAAGCGTGAACGTTCCACGTTCATTATACTTTCAGCTGGTATGAACTGACATTGGTAAAATCAAGAAAGAAGGCCCTGGTTCGAATGATGAGATGTGTTTCAGTGATCAGCTGCTAAGCAGAGACACTGTAGGCGGGCAATTTCCAACGGTTGTCCATTATTTTTAAGATGCCCATTCATTGCAGTGGCCCGAGACATGGCTCTTGGTCAGCCGACATATGGACATACTACACGCATGGCTAAATGGCTTGCCGATCTTGAGCTATCTGGAACATCTGAGATACGTGTATGGAGCAGCGTGTTAGGGCCAAAAAGGAAAGGGAATTGCTCTCAAACTGCTTCTTACCCTGTGATCTCCCGTCATTCTAGTTTCTTAATTCTACGATCTAACTTATAGACTGGCGCTTGTCTGCCCTACTCCAGAGGTAGGTAGGTAACATGGAGAATAGTGCTGCCCCGGAATGAGCCCAACGAGCCCAACACCACGGCATGACATGGATTTATCCCGAACGCAGTCGATATTGTTCATGCCCAATATTTTGCCTCGCAAGTCGCGCCATAGATGGTGCCCGAATGTCTCCCCATTAGCCATGCTGCTTGGTGGTTACCTACCTGTACTTGGCGTTGGCGGGGGCATGCGATATTTAAGAGCCATAGGTACCTATGCTTTTGGGTTGGCGTTAATCGCTGCCTCAAATACGGCGTGTACAGGGAAATCTCTCGTACCTCGCGTATACAGAGCGATGCTCACGGCTTATCTGTCTTATATAATACTTCCCAAGCATGAATCAACTGCAGGCGTATCCCTTCCATGCTAGAGTGGTTTTTTCTACGGCCCGAAAAACTATCTGGCCCCAGCGCCCCTTATTTTGCCACTCAACACTCTGCATTCGCCCTAACAAGTCATTCCGTATGAGGACCCCTCACTCCCAAAATGCCATGACAAAAGATGAGCGATATATGAATTGCACAAGGGATCTCCGAATGCAACAACGATCGTCACATGGCAGGACTAGCAGCTTGAGGCATCTAGATGGCACAGCAAGCGGTGCATGCCGGCAGCGCCAACCCAGTATCACGGCATGGTAGAGCCCAAGTATCCTCAGATTCTCGCCGCGCGGGAGCGGTACTCTGGCAATAACCTGACTAGACGGTTTTTGGCGGGGTTGCGCGCTGCCGCAGGGTCCTCCTGCAGCGCTAGGCACCGCTTAGTGCTAGCGCTGGCGCGGATGCTCCGTATCTTATCGATATACCCCAGTTTGTCGGCCTGTAGAAGCGCTAAACAGGCCTGTTCGATCGCCCGGTTTGGCTACCCAGGCCCAGGCGTCAGCAAGCACGCGCTGCAAGGCACTCTGCTTCAGGCAGCCCGCACCGCGAGTAATGTAGAATGCGCACGGCAGCAAACGGCGTTCGCACGAGTCGAGCGGTGCAGAGCCATGGCGCTGGATTGGCTGGCTGGTGACGGGCCCTGCTTGGCCAGTGGCTGGCGACCGAGGTGGGGGGACCCTCGACCGAAAACGAACCAGCCCGGGCTGGGCCTCTTGTTTGTGGAAGCGTCCTCCAACACGCCACCGACCAGATTTAAGCTTTTCCTTCTCCTCGCCGCCGCCGGAATTCTTCTCGACCTCGCATCGTGGCTCCTGTGATCATCAGCCCGCCGTGCCTGGGTGTCATGGGCCCTGCAGCCGTCCAAATTGTCCTCAGCCGCTGTCCGTTATCTTGACTGCCAAAGCGTGGTGCGGTCACGCTGACCACCCCGCGGCCACTTTTAGTAGCCGGCTGACCTCTTGTCGACATCGCCTCGTGCCCTTGTCGACAGCATCGAACAAGCTTTTATTTGGGCCGCGAGCCTAGCCTACAACTACCGAATCGACTCGTCTGAAAACGCGGCCCTCTACGAAGAGACGAAAGAGCTGTTTATACGCTGCGAGAGCCTGATTGTGATGCGTTGATAGGCATCTCAACGGCCTTTAAACTCTCTCCTCGGCGGACCCAGGCCCCGCAACGTCGCCATTCTCTTTTCCATCATCGAAGCTTAAATTCCATTCGAATAGACTTGCGAAAGATTTGACTCTTTTCTCTTGCAAACACTGGAGTCTCCTGACCCAAGACGACTGATCTGATCTGTGGGTATCTGGAAAGAGAGAAAACCGGTAGCGCCCACGAACCACCCCCTACGGAAGCATCCGAACCGAACCCGACTCGCAACGATGGCCGAACTACTCGATCTCACGGTAGAAGCTCCGGCGTCCCCTGATACGGGCATTGTCCCGACCCCGCCTGACGTGCCTTTCAAAGGCAGAAATCGCCAGCGGCTTCTGCGTGGCCTACAGCGCATTTCCTCATCACCGTCCCTTCCTGGCCTTGGACGGCCCAGAGCTGTCAGCAACCCCTATAGTATCCGTCGTGGCTCTATATCCTGCGTCAGTCTGTCCACCGCTGGACCCTCACAGACATCGTCCAGCGCTAGATCCGCCACTCCGCAACTATCACATCTGAATTTGAAGAGCGTCGCAGGCCTAGATTCTCCAACTGGCAAAAGAGAGGCGACGCTCGAAGTAACGGAACTTGATGACACGGAGGAGTGTTTGGCCATCCGAAAAATCCAGCATGGCTCTTCCCACACCTCGTCCGCCACATCATCCTTGCCGTCTGAACTCAAGGGGCGAACTAAACCCGTAGAAAAGAAGGATTTCTACTTTTGGGATAACATGCCTCATGAAGTCCGAATCCACATCTTTTCCTTCTTCCGGCCCAAGGAGCTGGTTCGATTATCCAGAGTAAGCAAATCTTTCTACGGCTTTTGCTTTGACGGCCAACTATGGACGTCAATCGACGCATCCGAGTTTTATCAAGATATTCCTGCAGCATCCTTGGCGCGCATCATCGCTGCTGCTGGTCCTTTTATCAAGGACCTGAACCTAAGAGGATGCGTTCAGGTTGAGCATTACAAACGGACTGAAATAATAGTCAAGTCCTGCAAGAATCTCATGAACGCGACACTCGAAGGCTGCCGGAACTTTCAGAAGAACACGCTCCATAGTCTCCTAAGGAGTAACGAGAAGCTAGTCAATTTGAATTTGACGGGGCTTTCGGCAGTGACAAACACATCATGCAGTATAATTGCCGAATCATGTCCTCAACTAGAGAGCTTTAACGTCTCTTGGTGTCAAAAAGTTGACGCTCGCGGGATTAAAATAATCATCGAGGCGTGCGCAAGGCTAAAAGATCTCCGCGCCGGCGAAGTCAAGGGATTTGACAATGTTGCAACTGCCGAGTCTATTTTCCACACTAATAATCTGGAGAGGCTGGTTCTCAGCGGATGCTCCGAGCTAAATGATGAAGCGTTGAAGATTATGATGCACGGGGTAGATCCTGAAATCGACATTCTGACGGGCATCCCTGAAGTTCCACCCCGGCGGCTTCGCCATCTCGACCTGAGCCGCTGTATAAGACTTACCAGCACAGGCGTGAAAGCGATTGGCCATTTGGTCCCGGAACTGGAAGGGTTGCAGCTCTCAGGGTGCAAGTCTTTGACCGACGCAGCACTCGAGCCTATCCTGGCATCAACACCGAGGCTCACACATCTCGAGTTGGAAGATCTCGAGGAGATTACCAACACTCTTCTCTCTGAGCATCTTGCCAAGGCGCCGTGCATCAGCATCTTGGAGCACCTCGCTCTGAGCTACTGTGAAAATGTTGGTGATCTTGGGATGCTTCCCGTTATGCAAAAGTGTGTGCGGCTGAAGAGTGCCGAGCTTGATAATACGAGAATAAGCGACTTGGTGCTTGCAGAAGCCGCTTCAATGGTCATCAAGCGTTCCAAACCATCCTTCGAAGCCAACACTCGGCCCAAGGTAACACTGCGACTGGCAGTATACGACTGCCAAAATGTAACTTGGACCGGTATCCGAGAAGTCCTGTTCAGAAACGCCCAAATCAGGCACGTGGTAGGGCAGCCGATGGGGATCACGTATCCAACCGAGAGCATCGGCCTGAAATGCTTCTACGGCTTCCAGATGACCGTTGACGAGCACCAGAAGAGAGTCCTCCGGGGCGATCTCGTCTCTGCCGGACGGCTGGAAAGGAAGTGGGCAGACTACATGCAGGCGAATGAAGAGGCCGGCGCAGGGGGGGCGGGATACCGAAGGCGCCGACGTCGGGCGAGACATGCGCAAGCCCTCCACGCGGATGAAGAGGACGGCGGCGTGGTCGGTCGGCGCAGAGCAAGGACATTGGGTTCCTGCTCTGTAATGTGAACTGCGACACACCCGCCCTCAGCGGTGTAGGCCACAAGAAGGGGGGACATGTTAGGGTTTCTCATTGTTTCCCCCCATGGCACGGATGCACACAATCACCACATTCCGCTCAGTTATGTGAGCGAAGAGAAAGAAAAAGGTGGATTAGGGCTCTCATTTTTTTTTGGCTTTTTTTTTTTTTCGAACTGGATTACACAATTTTGGTTGACTGCATATGGCAAAGGCGTTTTCTGAAAGCCATATGGCACGGTAGTAGAACAGGGAGGGAGTTGATCTGGCCTTCGTCTCTTATCCTTTACTCTTCTTTTTTCTCTAACACCTCACTTGACTGCCGGCAAAGATCAAAGATCAGGCGCCCTTGGAAGCAAAGATGCTGGGCATTTTGGGCTGACCAAACGTTTTACTATTTGCCTAACTTACTGAGGGACGCAGCAATGATTTTGCTCCGAGTGTGGTTATTTTTGTCTCAAAGACGGTTGAATTCTGGAACTGCTTAGCGCCCAGTCTGTGACTGCCGTGCTGCAAGCTTACTCTCTAGTTTGATGCAAATAGAATGATTTCCTCTCATGCATGCCTACTTGTCCTCTTGATATCTTGCCATGTGTCACTTCGCCTCTGGACGTCTATGCAGGCCCTCCTGGTGGGCAGCTACCCGTACTATTTACAGGATAAGGGGATGCAGGGGGAGAGAAAACAGGAAGAGGGGGTATGGAGAGAAGGGGTCCTTCGTCTAGAGAAGCATGAAAGCGAGGCCTGGATTATGCAGGCCCGGCAGAAGATGAAAACTCGGTGTGGCCTGCTTCTCTCAGCAAGCGATGGGGCGTTGTTTCTGGTGTACTTGCATGTCTTGAGGAGGAAAGGGGGATACATACATGCCGGTGTCGTATCTTGGTTTTTACGCAGCTTGACCGCAACTCTTCTGCTTGCGTACTACCATGTGTCAATGGTACAAGGCAAATCCTTTCGATACATGTGCTTCGTTCGAGAAGACTTTATTCCCTCTGCGTAAGAGGTACTAGTTTGGTGTAGGTGGTGTCGTGGTACTGCCTCCATCCCTGCAGTGAGGCCATTGGTGTGTGGGTGAGTACTGTTAAGAGCAACGGCGTACTTGCTAGATTATGGATTATCAGTTGAATAACAAACTAGCTATTCGGCCTCTCCAGCGCGTTGAATAATCACTAGTAGACCTAGATCCACGTGGAAAGAAGTGTCTAGTTCAATGACCGGTTCTGATTTAGTGAGACTTGCCGCTGAAGGAGGCTTGCGCTGTCGAATTCAAAAGGAGGGGCAAACTAAACTTCTATAGTATCTTTGATGTTGGGCCGATCACATTCAGTTTGTCAAGAAGGCTTTGTTTGATCATTCATACCTACAGTACCTTGTTGGTTAGTTTGTAAGTACGGATAGTTAGCTGCCATAGTGGTTTTGGGTACAGAATCTCGACCAAAAAGATACATGGAGGAGAAGAGGTCGCACTGTACAACGAATCTCTATCTACAAAGGATGGGTATGTGTGGAGCAATCACGAAACAAGAGTGATATGGCGTTGTTGGGTTGGGTCGGAAAACATACATACGCCACGAGTTGAATGTCATCGGAGACTGTGCTAGCAATTGATGAGGAGTCGGCGTCTTGTTGGGCGGCCTTCCATGTCTCTCAGGCTTTGCAAGTCGAAACGCACTTCGCTTAAGCACCTTGGAAGGCCCTCCCTCGAGCATAGAGATGCAGGTATATTGGCTGCATTGCTTTGCTGTCCCTGCCCAGGATCAGCATCGTGTGCAGCGACTGGCAAGCAGGTCACAAGTCAATCAAGCAGCAGGTCAAGCAGCAGGTCAAGCGGGCATGTATCGGTACTCGCAGCTGCGGCGAGAGCAAAAACTTGGCCTCTCACCGGCGTGGAGACCCCCAGGCTCGCATTGTATGCATGCGGTAGCTTGATGTATGTACCAAGTACGCAGCGCAGACGCAGGCATGGATGGACCTTGTTATGGCACGCCAATGACGGTGCAATGGCTCGAGGCTAGGCACGTGTGTGCGACGAAAGAATGCAGATGCAGATGCAGATTGCTTCTGGTTCGTATTTCTTTGTATGTCATTGACAGCTCTTCCGGGTAGATGATTCGATGGGCGCCGAAGATTATCTCGGCGGCGCGCCTCGCATTGCAGGTCGCCGTGCATATGTGGCGTGCAATCCCTGCGACCGGTGAAGTAAGCGAGCCATTGTTTGCTCGTTTCTGGCCATGGGTTCATCCTACCGGCTTTTCGATTTTGATTCATCTCTTTGGTCCTTGGATTTTCGTGTTGAGGCATCAGCCAAATGCTACCATTTCCCACCTGGGCCTGTGGGGGAACCACGCCGTGGAGCAACGCATGGAGCACGCACAGAGTCACGGACACTGGCCACTAGTCATTGGGCACAGGGCCCCTGTATTTCACCCACAGTTGGCACTGAGCAACTCCAGCCTCAAGAAGTCGCTGCAAAAGCAAACCCTACAGTTCCCAAGACGTCTGGTGTTGTGTCCAGCTCGGGCATCATGACAAGTCCTGCCTTATACCTGAGACGATGGCGGAGAACAGCTGCTGCGCTTGTTGCTTTTTGGCTCCAGTCGGCTAACTCTGCCAGAAGCGGAAATTTCTGACCCGCAGCTGAAGATATGCTGCTTAGCGCTGCTCCGTCTATAGTGGCCAGCCTCGCTGTGTTGGTGAGAAGGCCAGGCGCTCTTAGTTCTCCCGTGCTTCCGCGGAGGAGTTTGGAGCATGTTCTTGTTCTCTGTTCTCTCCGTCGGTTCTGAACAGAGGGGGTGCACTTTGTTTCACAGGGAACGAGCTGCGTGGGAGACTAATCGCCCAGTACGTCGAGTGTAGTTGAAATACCTGGCGCACGCTAAGAGTTTGCTTGTAATGGTCATGGATTGTGTTAGTGCTTGCGTATTTACACAGTCGTGACAGCACACACAGTACCTACCCGGTGCCTAACCAAGACTGGCCGGCTTTTTAATCCGTCGTCCAATCTGGTCTTGTTGGTAACGCAAATTTGGCACCTGGCACGACAGCACCTCCTCTTTTGCTGGCAAGATTTCCCTTTCTAGCGGGCCTGCAGAAAGACGCTAACATCAGTTGAGGCCTTTCAAAGAAGCACAGGTTCAATTCCGGCTATCCCACCAGCCACGGTAGCCCCAGCCCCACGGATCTCTGTCTGGCCGTAGGTGAATATCCCGAGGTACGGCAGGGGTTGGCTCTGTGCGCAGGAAGCAAAGATACAGAGAGAGGAAAGGGCCGTGTGCTTGTGCTCTGATCAGAACCTGTTCCATACCTCACCATACATGCTTACATATAGAAGCTAATAGTCCTGTCTGGCTTGAGCAACCCCGGATCCGAGATTAGATTCCGCCTTGGGTTGCATCACAGCGCATTTCTGGTTCGAGCGTCCTTGCTCCCCGGTCTCTTTGGCTTGCTGCTTCGTCTTCTCTCCCCCCCTCCAGTCCGGACTGACTTCTCCAGAAGCCAGAGTCATGCCTCTCGAGACAATATACGTCGTTCGCCATGGGGTAAAGTTTGTCCTTGATCCCCTCACCCCCCTTGCACCGCACGTAGTGGCGTCACGAGGCTGAATGCTCTTGTATTGACCTTTGTTATTGTCAACGCCAGTTCCGGTCTAGTTGGTCTGTCGACCACACCACGGGAGTGTACTCAGCTTCCATCCCATCACCAACAGGAATTGCTGTGGACCCGGCCCTCACCGCTCACGGAGTCGATCAGTCAAGAGAGCTTGGGCGTCACCTCACGACGCTGGATCCTCCTGTAGAGGCTGTATATTCAAGCCCGTACTATCGGTGCCTTCAGACCATTACCCCGTTTGTTGAGCTTGAGCAGCAGAAACAGGCCAATGGCGACGCTCTGGGCAGTCATGTCCCCTCTGCCACCTCTGCCACCTCTGCCACCGCGATAATACGTCCTGAGCACGGACTCTGCGAGTGGTTCGGGTCGGCTCCTTTCGAGCATCCCGGCCCAGCCTCACCCGCGGTCTTGAAATCCTTGTTCCCTGCCTTTGACGAGAGCTACGTGTCGGCCCAGCATCCTCCAAAGAGGGGCGAGACGCTGGCTCAGCTGCAGGCCCGGCTTACGGCCACGATGCAGAGTATCATTGATCGCTGCGACGCTGAAGATAGGCGAGCCGTTGTTCTGTGTACTCACGCCGCCGTGGTCATCATGTTGGGCCGTATCCTCACTGGATGCTTCCCTGAAACAGTCGACACGGACGACTTCCGTGCCTTTACGTGCGGAGTGAGTGTCTACCGCCGGAAACTTGTCAATCAGGATGGCCATGGGCCGCAAGCAACGAGGAATTCGACTGAGAAGAAGCCTGGCCCTGATGCTGTTGTTGGAAGTTGGACATGCGAGGCCAACAGCGACTGCAGCTTCCTGTCAGGTGGCGAAGAACGAGGCTGGTATGTGCAATCCCCCAAGCAAAGCAAAGACCGTTTGAGACCAGCACTGACAATGCAATCCCCGGCATTAGGAAGTTTGTGGGAGACGAGGAGTTTCCAGACACGGGCTCCATGTCCAATGATGCATCTGAGCCCAAGCTATAGATGGCACGACGTCTTCGGGGCGCCTAAACCTACCAGCAGGGTAGATGGAAGATGATGTAATTGCATTTCATTTGCGAGGCAAGCAACACCATGTATACTACCAGGTAGAGTACTACGAATAGACCAATACACAAGACAGAGTAGACCAACGGCGGAGTGTAGCTGTCGACAAAGTATAATTAGATTTCGTCATCAGGAACTCGCGTGGCAAACTGCTCCGAAGACAAGCAGCGTGACAGCATGATCATCAACCTGACCGTGCTTGGTGTCACCCGCGACTTCCCTTTCTCGATTGCCTTGTTGGGCCAAACTGGTGTTGGACTTGATCTGCTTTTGGACGTCTGGGCAAACAGCTTTTTCCCCAATTCACACAGCGTTCGTCCGGCCAAGCGCCCCTCCCCCTCGGAC